TCTGGTAATGTCTGATAGAGAGCCTTCTGGGCCACCATCAGCGCAAGGCAACGGGTCTCTTTCATACCCCAACAACAGCACATAATGACCTTTCCTTTGCTTCCTCCATTACTCTCTTCAGCTATAGATGGCAAAAAATACCCAATAATTTCAGGTGTGGAGGATCATGTAACTCATTCCAGCACTGATGCTAAATTGGTAATTGGTCCAGTGCTGTCACATGGGAACAGAAGGTCTGCTGATCATTGGCAATAAAGTTCTGCACACCACTTTACCAGCACAAAAGCAAACAAAAAAGTAGCATATACAATTGCTACACAAGTTATATTGTAATTTAATGGTATTAAACATTACCTTTCCTTTTTCATCTGCAGCGCTGTCATTTTTTGTAAAATGCAATATGGCAACCTGGAGGCGTTCTGTATACAGATGGTCCACAGAACACCCCCCCCCCAGAAATATAATTTCCTGCTTTTGTGATTGGCTTTCTGATTTTCCCAGAAGCCTGCACTAAGATACAAGTCCGATTTCCCCTGCAAAAGAAATGTCATTTTTGATGAGATACTCCCAAAGGGAAATGACATGTAATGGGATGCAGACCCTGCCACTTTTCTCATTAGAACCCTGCGGGTGCAGCAGATGATTGATAAATATAAAATCACTCCCAGTCACATTACTTTTTCACATGTCCACAAACAAATGAAGAGCTATTTCTTCAGAATAACAAAAGGTAGGAATCTGCAGTTTGTTAAAATCCCTGCAATGTACATAAATCGCCCAGAGGGGAATGTTTCTTTTCTCAACAAAAGTGAAGTTATTCTTTAAACCCCTACATAGTGTATCAAGCTGCTAATACAATAATTGCAATTATATAGAGGAAGCACACCACATCCAAAGAATGCTTTTGCTAAAAAGTTGTCTTCAACACATAGAGAAGCATTCAAGTAGAATAGGTTCAAATATCCAGATATATCACATGAAGAAAAATATATCATATGAAGAAAAATATATAGAGTATTTGTTCCATTTTTAATTCCAATATATATCTAAAAGAATACACAGATAAAAAGAGCACCACTCAGTCATATAGTAGGTGATGTTGTGACTATATACTGTTCCCTATATAAAGTACGGCTTACGCAGGGCTTTCTATCTTAGATTAGTACTTTCTGGTGCTGCATGGGGAGGGTGGCGGAGAAAGGCAGAAGCAGTGTATACAGTGACAGACTGTCACTAGATGTTAGTGCCGGTTTTTTAATGCAATTGCTGGGGTTTTTTTTTTTTTTTTTTTTCACTATAGCTCAGAAAATCAGCTGACACTTTCCCCGAGCTAAAAGAAACGTTTCTTTTTAGTTTCTTTCCCGAGCTAAAATGAAGAAAAAAAAAAAAAGCCGGCAATTGCATTTAAAAACCGGCACTGACGTATAGTGACAGCCAGTGAGGGAGCCTCTCTGTATTCACTGCTCCTCTCCTGCCCCCTCCTTGCACACACTGCCCCACCCCACCCCACAAAGAGGACCTGTCACTCATATGCTATCATATAGGGGACTATTGGTTCCCTATGTGATAGCAATAAAATCTTAAGTTAAAAAAAAAAAAAATATATATATATATACAGTCATGGCCGAAATTGTTGGCACCCTTGATATTTTTCCTGAAAATCAAGTATTTCACACAAAAAAGGTATTGCATTAACACATGTTTTGCTATACACATGTTTATTCCCTTTGTATGTATTGGAACAAATATAAAACAGAGGCAGAAAAGCAAATATGACATAATGTCACACAAAACCCCAAAAATGGGCTGGACAAAAGTATTGGCACCCTTAACTTAATATTTGGTTGCACACCCTTTGGAAAACATAACTGAAATCAGTCGCTTCCTATAACCATCAATAAGCTTCTGACACCTCTCACCCGGAATTTTGGACCACTCTTCCTTTGCAAACAGCTCCAGGTCTCTCTTATTGGAAGGACACCTTTTCCCAACAGCAATTTTAAGATCTCTCCACAGGTGTTCAATGGGATTTAGATCTGGGCTCATTGCTGGCCACTTCAGAACTCTCCAGCGCTTCTTTGCCATCCATTTCTGAGTGCTTTTTGACGTATGTTTGGGGTCATTGTCCTGCTGGAAGACCCAGGATCTTGGACGCAAACCCAGCTTTCTGACACTGGGCCCTACAGTGCGACCCAAAATCCTTTGGTAATCCTCAGATTTCATGATGCCTTGCACACAGTCAAGGCACCCAGTGCCAGAGGCAGCAAAACAACCCCAAAACATCATTGAACCTCCACCATATTTTACCGTAGGTACTGTGTTTTGTTCTTTGTAGGCCTCATTCCGTTTTCGGTAAACAGTAGAATGATGTGCTTTACCGAAAAAGCTCTATCTTGGTCTCATCTGTCCACAAGACGTTTTCCCAGAAGGCTTTTGGCTTACTCAAGTACATTTTGGCAAACTGTAGTCTTGCTTTTTTATGTCTCTGTGTCAGCAGTGGGGTCCTCCTGGGTCTCCTGCCATAGCGTTTCATTTCATTTAAATGTCGACGGATAGTTCGCGCTGACACTGATGCTCCCTGAGCCTGCAGGACAGCTTGAATGTCTTTGGAACATGTTTGGGGCTGCTTATCCACCATCCGGACTATTCTGCGTTGCAATCTTTCATCAATTTTCCTCCGTCCACGACCAGGGAGATTAGCTACAGTGCCATGGGTTGCAAACTTCTTGATAATGTTGCGCACTGTGGACAAAGGCAAATCTAGTTCTCTGGAGATGGACTTGTAACCTTGAGATTGTTGATATTTTGCCACAATTTTGGTTCTCAGGTCCTCAGACAGTTCTCGTCTCCTCTTTCTGTTGTCCATGCTTAGTGTGGCACAGACAGACACACAATGCAAAGGTTAAGTGAACGTCTCCTTTTTATCTGCTTTCAGGTGTGATTTCTATATTGCCCACACCTGTTACTTGCCCCAGGTGAGTTTACAGGAGCATCACATGCTTGTAACATTCTTATTTATCCGCAGTTGTGAAAGGGTGCCAATACTTTTGTCCAGCCCATTTTTGGAGGTTTGTGTGACATTATGTCGAATTTGCTTTCTTTCCTCCCTTTTTTTGTTTTGTCCCAATACACACAAAGGGAATAAACATGTGTATAGCAAAACATGTGTTAATGCAATACGTTTCGTGAGAAATACATGATTTCCTGGAGAAATATCAAGGGTGCCAACAATTTCGGCCATGACTGTATATACATGAAAGTAGAAAAAAAATATTTAAAAAAATAGGAGCCTTCCCACCCCTCTCATACGCCGACATTTTGGTTTCAGCTCGGTTTTCGGCCACATGCATTCTGATTTTTCGATATGCACACACTGCCCCCCTCCACCCCACAAAGATGGCCTGTCACTCATGCTATCACATGGGGGACTATTGGTACTTTCCGGTGCTGAATGGAGAATGAATTGAGTTGGTAAGCTAAATCCCAAAGGAAGACATAGTCCACTCTAAGGCCTCGTTCACATGGGGCATACTGTAGCATACACCTGTGCAGGGCCAGGTTTACCTGCATGGGGATGCACAGGTGTTCAATGCAGCCCCATGCAGGTAGTCCCATTGATGTCAGTTGGGATGCAGCAGCTGCATGGACACAGCTGCTGCTCCCAATATGATATCCGTGTGGGTGCGGATATGTGTCTCTGAACGCAGACAGTGAGTTCGGTGACACAGATCGACACGGGTGTCACATTGGGAGCAGCAGCTTTGTGCAGTCACTGCATCCTATCTGACATTAAAGGGAGTACCTGCACAGCAATGAACAGCCCTGCATGGGCATACGCTATAGTATGCCCTGTTTGAATGAGACCTAAAGTTACACTGACTACTCTTTGCAGCACTTTTCAGGAGCATTGGTAAATATTACATTGGCTTTGTACAGCTCTGGCAGGTGCCATTAGTTTACATACCTGTACATTTTTGGCTTGGAGGAAGAAATCCATATTGGAACAAGGAGTAAAAACAACAAATTCCCAGCTAACTTGCCAGCCAGCCTGCAATAAACTGAGTTGTCCTGTCTAACAGTTCACGCTAAAACCAAGGGGTTAAGTTTGCACACATTTACAAATATATGCGCAAGCTGCAGTGGCCACATCCCAGCGCCCCAGTATACTGCAGTCCTAGCTATAAATGTTGAGAGTCTCCAAAGTTGGAGCACATATATAATAATGGATAGATTATGGGCAGGCATGCCTGAAGGGAGCCCACCCCTCCTTAAAGGTATAGGGGCGCATTGGATACCCAGCAATAGCACACTGTCATTGAAGGTATACAGTGCATCCCCCTCACCAATTCACTTTGATCAGGGGACGTGCTGGATACCTTCGCTGCGCTGTTTGATATGCGACGCCCCTTCCATGTGCTCCTTGCTGCAAAGGCCAGTTATAGGTTGGGGTCAGGGGCGGACTGACAACTCATGGGGCCCCCGGGCAATAGGGGGATCATGGGGCCCCTGTGTCCTTGCCCAAACTCAAAAAAGCCTCTGAAAAAGGTACCAGGGGCATCTCATGGGGCCCCCTACTGACCCCGGGCCCTCGGGCAGTGCCCGAGTTTCCAAATGGCCAGTCCGCCCCTGGTTGGGGTGTTTGCCATTTGTTTGTACAAGGAGTAAAAACAAGCTCCACGCAGATAGTAGCCCTGCTGTAAATTGATGTTGGGTTTCTAGGGCAGCTAGGTCAGAATACTGACCATGGAACCACAGGGCTGCCTGGGTTTGCCAAGTTACAGATGGGAAGTATAGGGCGACAGAGGTAATTGGTGCCTTTATCAAACAAATGAGTGAAGCTATAAGAGAACAAGACCCCCTCTAATTGTTGTTGTTGTGGGGGAGATCAGGGGTCACTCATAGTTACTGAGATCAAAGAAACTCTTGGCTGATTTGGTTTGTAGGCGGATGCTTGTGATTTATAGTATGTAATATTTTTTTTTTACATTTTTTTCTTGCAGGATTGTAGAATTGAAAGAATCTGTGTGTGACGTCAACCTGGGTTTCAATAAAATCCCAGCAATCACCTTGAATTTGTGCATGTTACTGAGATTAACACATCTGGATATGAGGTCAGAATCTCATTTATTAATGATCAAGGGCTTTCATTTTTTTGTAATATGTGACCTTGCAAAATAATAATTTAGTAATGATTGACAGAGTTCTGTAAGTTCTGGTGGAGATAACTAAAAATCTGCCCCAGTGCCATAATCTTATGTAAAATGCTGGCATTATTAACCCCTTAGTGACTAAGTGTAAGAAGACTGCTAATGCCTAAGCACAATTTTGCAACTTTGACATGTGTTAGTAAAACCGCACATATCTTCGCAACTAATTTGTGCGTCCAGGTGGATTATACCTTTTTTTTTTTTTTTTTTTTTCCCAGGAAAAATTGGTCTTTTTTGTTGGTAATAGATATCTCCTGATATTTCTTTTCTTTATTATCAAAGGAAAACTGTACCAAAATAGTAATACAAAGTGTATGTGTATGTGTATGTGTGTGTGTGTGTGTGTGTGTGTGTATATATATATATATATATATATATATTATTTTTTTTTTTATTTAGCTGTATATTTTTTTTGCCACTAACATACCATCAAAGAACAACTTAAAATAAATTCCCCTGCCTCTGATGATACAGCGATACCACATATGTGTATGTTAGTTGCTGTTTGTGCCCGTAGAAGGGCCCAGAAACAATGGTGCACATTTTGCTTTTTTTATCCTACCTAAAACATATTGACACTGATACTTAAAAAATACCCTTTTTTGTTTTTTAAATACTGACCATGGCCTTTGGACCTGGCCTCTGACCTTTACAAACACTAACCCTGGCACTAACCTGGAATAAAAACCTTGATCTAGGCATTTTTTCTTTAACTTTAATTTTGTTTATATTTTTTTATACACATTTGTTTGTTACATATCTCCCTGAAAGGGGAGAGAAATACAACGTATTTTTCTCTCCATTCAGAGGAAAAGTAAAGAGAGGGGCGGGCTGCACAGTGATGGATCACTGTGATAGCCAATCTGAGAGTGTTTCAGATCATGGAGCTTCCACATCTCCATGGATGATTTTTTTTTTTTTTGTGTGGAGACATTTGCTTTGCATGCCAGGTTAACCTTAAAGCAGCCTTTCTCAGCCAAGGTTCCAGGGAATCCTAGGGTTCTTCTAGAGGTTGCCAGGAGTTCCTTAAACTATGGCTGATTGACTTCCCATTTTGGTGGTTACTGCGTAGTTCCAAGAAGAAGGCCACTTGGCAAAGCCAGTAGAATGACACCAATGACTTTAAGGCACCAATGTAAGGGAGGTAATCTTTCTACTGACCACCAATGTAAGGGGCATTTTTCCCATTTGATCTCCAATTAATAGGTTTCGGTAAGAGTTCCTCAAGACCTGAAAATTATTTTAGGGGTTCCTTTGGGGTAAAAGCTTGAGAAACGCTGCTTTAAAGTCTATCCACACCCCCAAACGTGTATTACACATGTGATACATTGTAGCTTACCAGGCCTTGGGTATGGTGCCTGTTCTTGTTTCCATTTTTTCCCCCTTTATTTTCACCTGGTGATCCTGCAATGGACACTCTTCCTGTAAACCTCCTCGCTCACTACTTTATTCGTTGAGGAGCAATATTGTCACTGTAGGCTATTCTCTGGATTTAGACTTAAAAACCTTCTCCACTGCTCATATCTGAGGACTGGTATGCTGCAGTACATTACATTGCTGTTCTTGAGTTTCAATATCCTATAACAAAGTATGTGTCCATACCTGTGTTGTATTCAACAGAACCTGCAGACATTGGTCATTACTGTATGTAACCTCTTGGTGTCTTTAAAGTGACATTAAAAGCAATTTAAAAAAAAAAAAAAAAAAAATAAACATGTCTATACTTGTTCTGTGCAGTGGTTTTGCACAGACCAGCTCCAATCCTCTTCTCTAGTCCCCCACTGGCACTCCTGGCCCCTGCCTAGTGCCTGCACAGCAAGCATCTTACTGTGGGTGCACCCAAGCATGCTCGCTCCTGAGCTGCTGTTCTGCATGTCCATTCACACAGAGCTGCAGCTTGGCCCTGCCACCTCTCTAACCTTATTGGTGAAGAGGGAACCTCCAGTGCTTTCCTCTGCTGTCTCAGCCAATAAGGAGGCCGAGTCCCCGGAGAGCCGAGGCTCCTGTGCACATGGCTGGATCGTGATGGGGATCAGGTAAGTATTAGGGGGGCTGCTGCACACAGAAGGTTTTTTTTACCTTCATACATAGAATGCGTGGAGGTTAAATACCTGGAGCCTTTACAACCATTTTAAATGTCTTCACTGTGATTTGTGAAAAATTTACTAAACTGATTTTTCTTATTGCAGGAATAACTTTCTGTCATCACTCCCTGATGAGCTGGAAGCTCTGACCCACCTGCAATCCATCATCCTTTCTTTTAACAGGTCTGTGATATGTATTGTCAGTGGTATAGATTTTTAATGTGTCACACCTGCAGAGCTCGACAAATCCCAGGTAGCCATGGTGACTAGAAATTGCCTCTTGGCGCCTGGGTTCACACATTGCCATCCATAGACTTGAATGGGAAATTGCGCCCCATAGACTTGAATGGGAAATTGCGCCCCATAGACTTGAATGAGAAATTGCGCCCCATAGACTTGAATGGGAAATTGCGCCCCATAGGCTTGAATGGGAAATTGCGCCCCATAGGCTTGAATGGGAAATTGCGCCCCACAGGCTTGAATGGGAAACCGCGCCCCACAGGCTTGAATGGGAAACCGCGCCCCACAGGCTTGAATGGGAAACCGCGCCCCACAGGCTTGAATGGGAAACCGCGCCCCACAGGCTTGAATGGGAAACCGCGCCCCACAGGCTTGAATGGGAAACCGCGCCCCACAGGCTGGAATGGGAAATCAGGACTTGGGACTCTTTTTATGCTTTGTCACAGTAAATGATATTTATTTTTCCATGACACATTGTTTGATATAAACACATAAGATATACACACGTTCATTCATTTATTTTTTTTTTGTATAGTTGGAATTCATGTGATGTCTTTTTAGTAGCACACAGCTTATGATTTTATTTTTTATCTCTAGGAATATTTGTATTGTGCGGCACTTATTCATCTACAGTCAGGTCCATAAATATTGGGACATCGACACAATTCTAACATTTTTGGCTCTGTACACCACCACAATGGATTTGAAATGAAATTAACATGATGTGCTTTAACTGCAGACTGTCAGCTTTAATTTGAGGGTATTTACATCCAAATCAGGTGAACGGTGTAGGAATTACAACAGTTTGCATATGTGCCTCCCACTTCAGCTAATGTGACCCAAAGCTGAAAAGGCAAATGAGGTTGTGAAGGCGCCCAGTGTCCTCTTTATCAACTGATGACATCATTGGTTGGTAGGACACTGGCAGCTAGAACGTCATAATGGTGCACAATGAAAACCTGTGGCTTTAGGTAACTAAAAGGCAGGCTTGTTCAACCTACTGACTTGTATACAGTTTTTGGGCAATATTTTGGCATTTTATCAAGGCGCCCCTAAAGAAACCTGAAGGCTCCCCAAAGTGCCTAGGCTCCCTGGTTGAAATAGGCTTCCTTATTTCATCACTTGGTCTCTGAGCTTCTCTATACAGTGCAGACAGATCATGGGTGATGGGAGGAACTGACAGGGTGCTGTCCATAGCTTCCTGAAAACATCACAGCCCCCTTCCTCAGTAATACTTCTCTTAGGTGCCCTCAGCCTTGATGGAAGCAGTGGACTGGATCTTGAGAGGAGTTCTGCAAATATTAAATTTTCCTTGATGGGTGGATGTCTGCGGGAGTGGGCTGTATTTGTATGCAGACTGTCCTAGGTAATACCCAAACACAATACTGGGCCTCGCATCATTGAAAGAACTGAAATCCGATGAATGAAAGGGCGAGTCAGGGACAGTCAGAGTGGGGAGGAAAGGACTATGATGCTGGATGTTCTAAGAAATTAGACTGACTTCTATCTGACTTGTTGCAACTTTTAATGCACACTGTGACAAGCTCACAGGGTGCAGAGTAAGCAATTTCAGTAAAACTATGCAAGACTGAAGGTAAGGCTGGAGGTCAGATTTAAATCGCCCCAAGATCTGAACACTTTTATTGGCTGCACTTTTACCTTCAAATTGCGTGCAGAAGAGCAGCAATGGATCACTGAGGGAGTGAGCTACTCAATGGTGGGTTAGCAAGACTGGTGTAACAATGCTAAATTTGTGTATGATTTATGGCGGTTATGCTCTTCTGTGTAGCGGACACCTTGGGGAGTCCCTTGTTACACCATTTAGTGATCAGTCATCACTTTTTCCTGATAAAAGATTCCAATACACTTTGGAGTTCGACTATTCGCTCTGTCTGATTGGTTGATAATGTGATCGAATCCAAGGCAAGCTGATGCATAAAGGAATTACAGATTCCAAGTTTGCAATTGGATAGAAAACTGGATGCAAGTGGGGCTAGTAGTACCCAAGGACAGATTTGGGCACCATTGACATAGGCAGCCTATAACAGGGTCCCAGCACCTCCAGAGTGCAGTAAGAGACTTGTAGTTCCATGGAAGGTTGAAAGTGGTATGTTACTTAGGCCAAATAAACACCTTGTGTGTGTCGGAAATGCATGCACTTTCATGGCACGAACAGAAACACAGAGATTCGGCAGTGCCATTAAATGTTAATAGCACCCCCATGCATCTGCTAACATGCGCACCAAACTGCATGGTGCTACACAAAGTGAAAAAGGGGTCAGGGACTTCTTTGGAGTATTTCTTGCATGTAGGGTAACCCATTGCAATTAATAGGCTGCCCGTACGACGTGCGGAGATGCACATCCATCGCACCTGTTGGTGAACGGAGCCTAAAACCTTCTAACCGTGATGAGAATATCGGACAAATGCAAGTGTACAATCCAAACGCACACGTTCCTGCGTTAAAAATGGCGGTGTGTATAAGTGGGTGCTGCAGCGACCGTCGGCTGGAACCGAACAGAATCAGCAAGGGAGAATGTCACCAGCACACCGAGGATCACCAATATGGGCCCAAACGTTTTAATGAATGATCATAGTTACAGCAAGGCAACGTTTCGGAGTCTCGCAGGACCCCTTCATCAGGCATGTGACGTCACATGCCTGATGAAGGGGTCCTGCGAGACTCCGAAACGTTGCCTTGCTGTAACTATGTGATCGTTTATTAAAACTTTTGGACCTATATTGGTGATCCTCGGTGTGCTGGTGACATTCTCCCCTATTGGACAAATGGTCGTCCATTTTTTTTTTTCCTTTTTGTATGCTAGTCTCGTATGAGATTTTTTGTAACTTTAGTAACCTCTTAATTTTCGATATAACAGAACACAACTTCGGAAGTGATGTATTGTAATGTATTCTTTTGTTTCCAAGCATGCACAGTCTTGGCCACTTGACTTTTCGCAGACAAATGTTGTACTGACGAAACGAAGATCGTTCATTCTGTAAAAATTGTCTTGCTTGTCCCTTCATATAATTTTGCATGACCCGTCGTGGTCGTCTCCCGAAAGCTGTGTACTAACGAGAAGATTATCAGACGATCGCTCTGAAAGAGATATTTTTCGTCTGATTTTCTCATTGTGTGTATTAGGTTTAAGCCTTGATTGAACGTTGTATTCCTGTGTAAGCAACTTAACAGCATCATTTATTCCTCTGTTTCCAGGTTTAAAACTTTCCCCGAGGTTCTGTACCGGATCCCTACTATGGATACGATTCTCATTAGCAGCAATCAGATTGGATGCATAGATCCTTTGCAGCTGATTAAACTGACAAAGCTGTCCACCCTGGACCTCCAGAATAACGACCTCCTGCAGATCCCGCCAGCCCTGGGGAACTGTGAGAGCATAAGGTGAGGGATCATTTGAGTCATGTTTCCTGGTAGTCTGGTATAGCTAAGCCTGGGGTCACTGGAGAGCTTTTCATGTCTGTGATCTCGCCTCTGTGAAGGATAGCAGAAGGCCCTCTGATCCAGCCAGAGACACGATTCCAGAGATTTTTAGGTCTTGTTCCCATGGGATGTATCAATGCATACTCTGTGTAAGGCCGTGTTTACTTACACTCCGTGTCTGTGTGCATGCAGCAGCTGTATCCAAATTGACATCAATGTGACTGGATGTGCAGAACACCTGGGCATCCCCGTGTGGGTACACATGGCTTTCATATGGGGTACATATTAATACATTAAGTGTGAACTTAAAGGGGACGTACAGCCATAGCTTTATGTGCCTGAAAGCTCATTGTTCACTCCTGTGACCCGTTTTCAGGCTAAAGTTCAATGTGCAACTCAATCAATAACCTCCTATTCTGTGAACCCACCAAAAGTCACACTTTCTCCCTAGAAAGTTTACTATATTTAAACCTTTTTTGTGATATACTATCTATAAGATAAATAAATATAGATAAATAAAATACATAAATCCTAAAGTGTCCAATTCAACAAAAGTCCCACATGTGTCCAATAAAGTCCAAAGATCCAAACTTCCATCCAGTAAGAAGGATTGACTCCTATTAATCCAATGAAACCTTAAAAAAATGAAAAATATACACCATAGTGCATTACCTTTTAAATCTTCAAAATAAACCAATATTGTGCAAACACAAATCACACACATATATATATATATATATATATATATATATATATATATATATACACACTAAACCCCAAACTGTGAGCACTCTGTGATCAACTGCAACACTGTGAACACTCCGTGAGACAACACCCAATAGTGCTAAGTACTAGGGTAGGGATCCCTTCAGACGAAGTTCGGAAGTGACGAAACGAGTTAGGGGAGGTGACGTCAAGACGCACGTACGCTAACCGGAAGTGTCGCCGCGCCCATTTTGTTGGTTACCTACACATGGTGTGTGCCAGTGTTTGGTAAACCTCCACAGAAAACCTTTTGTCAGAGCTGGAAGTTGGTTACTATAATGTAAGTTACTATTACATTTTATCTATGCTTGGAGATCTGTCTTAAGACTCTTCTTGTCTTTGTGAGGACCTTGGAAGGAGTATCCATAAAGAAAGAATGGAAGATTATGGTTCCATATTATCGATATGTGTATAATTACAGAGAGGGTAATAGTACCTAGCACTATTGGGTGTTGTCCCACGGAGTGTTCCCAGTGTTGCAGTTGATCAGAGTGCTCACAGTTTGGGGTTTAGTGTGTATATATATGTATATGTGTTTTTGTTTTTCTTTTCTTCTTCACATTTTTGTGTGATTTGTGTTTGCACAATATTGGTTTATTTTGAAGATTTAAAAGGTAATGCACTATGGTGTATATTTTTCATTTTTTTGAGGTTTCATTGGATTAATAGGAGTCGATCCTTCTTACTGGATGGTAGTTTGGATCTTTGGACTTTATTGGACACATGTGGGACTTTTGTTGAATTGGACACTTTAGGATTTATGTATTTTATTTATCTGTATTTATATTTATTTATCTTATAGATAGTATATCACAAAAAGGTTTAAATAAAGTTCAATGTTGGCTGCTGTCACAGAGCCAGTCCAGGCTGGGGAAAGATCCTAATCATATGGTCAGGAGCCTGGACCAGCACCTGGCTCAGCCTCTCAGCGAGCCACTGAGAGCCTGAGCCAGCTGCTCCCTGCCCCTCTACAGTCCAGCGCTCCAGTGAGTGCTGGAGGGGCAGAGCAGACAGTGGTGACTGACAGAGCGGCAGGGAGAACAGCACAATCAGCAGTGTTTGATCGCTCAGTTCTCTTCCTTAGAACTGGTGGGGAACAGATGCAGCATCGGATCGACCTAGGTAAGTATAATTTAAAAATCCAAAACTTCTCTTTTAAAGCTGAAGTTTAATCTGCTTGATTGTTGCCTTCCCTGGTTACATAGTTAGTCTGGCTGAAAAAAGACAAAAGTCCATCCAGTTCAACCACAGAAAAAAAAGTGATAATCCTATACCCACAGTTGATCCAGAGGATGGCAATAAAAAAAAACAGCAAAGCATGATCCAATTTGGAGGTTCCTTCTTTCTTCCTTCCTGTCCCCCACCAGTTCTAAGGAAGAGAACTGAGCGATCAAACACTGCTGATCGCTCAGTTCTCCATGCCGCTCTACGCAGAGAGCTGGAACCGTCAGTGACCTCTGTCTGCTCTGCACCCCAGCACTCGAGCGCTTGGCTTTAGAGGGGCAGGCAGGGCTGGCTCAGGATCTCAATGGCAGAGAGGCTGAGCCAGCTGCTGGTCCAGGCTCCTGAGTGGATCCGGACCATATGGTTAGGATCTTTCCCCAACCTGGAATGGCTCTGTGACATCAGCCACCATCAAACTTTAGTTTCTTTTAAAGCTGAAGTTTAATCTGTTTGATTGTTGCCTTCCCTGGTTCCTCCTTTCCTCTCCTTCATTAACTTGCCGATGCCATTTTTAAGAAATATGTTTCCTTTTTCTTGACATCATTAAAATATCATATGTTAGACCCAGCAATGTCATTGCTAGGTCTCTGTGTTTTTCTATGCAATGCAGGCAGATCATGGTTGGTGGGAGGGGCTTGAAGGGTGTTGTACTTGGCTTCCTGAAAACATCATAGCACCCTGCCTCTGTACTGCTTTCAGGAGCCCTGATACAACCAGTGGAGGAGTTATGCAAACATCAAAATGCCTTGATGGGTGGATGTCAATCTGGAGGAGAGGGCATTCCTAGGCAAGCCATATTTGCATGTTAGACCACCCTAGGTAACGCCCACATGTAATTCTGAGCGTCTATGTGCTGAAATTCAATTATTGGGGTTGGCAGGGGACAGTCAGGCTGGAAAAGAAAGTGCTAGATGATGCTGGACATCTTTCAGCCATGAAATGACTTGCTGCAGGTTCAAGTGCACACTGTGAGTAGCTCACAGTGTGCAGTGAAATCAGAGGAAAAATTTCAGTCCAGGAGAGGAGCCGTTACAACTGCAAGACTGAAGGGAAGGATGGAGGTCGCATTTAAGGTTCTCTTTTGCAGAGACCAATTTAATTTTTATTTTTGACTGAAGTATATCTTTACCTGGCCAAGGTGATCTCACAGTAATGTGTCTAATGCTGGCTGTGTTGTCCACAGAGCTCTCCATCTGGAAGGAAACCCCTTCAGGAACCCACGGGCTGCCATTTTGGCCAAGGGGACTACAGCTGTTTTGGAGTATCTCCGGAGCCGTATTACCACCTGATGGCGTCCAGTGAAGAGAAGCGGCCGGGGTTCCTTCATAGAGTTCCGGGTCTTATCCAATGCTGGGAATTTGTTGGTTTAATCTAAAACAGTGGTTCTCAACCTGTGGGTCGTGACCCCTTTGGGGGTCAAACAACCCTTTCACAGGGGTCCCCTAAGACAATTAGAAAACACATATTTCTGATGTGTAAAGAGCAGCTACTGTGTAGAAAGCAGCTGCTGTGTTGAAAGCAGCTACTGTGCTGAAAGCAGCTACTGTGCTGAAAGCAGCAGTATTGGAGGTAAAATGACACTTCATGAATTATAATTACTGGGTAAATAATTTTATGGTTGGGGGTCACCACAACATGAGGGACTGTATTAAAGGGTCACGGCATTAGGAAGGTTGAGAACCACTGATCTAAAAGGTTCCACTGCTATCGTCCATTGCAATTCCTGACATGGCACAGAGCTCTGGACTTGTCTATCACACTGCTATGGGGAGACGCAACCAAATGTTGGGGAGCCTTCTTGTACCTCAAATGTTTCTCACACTGCCAACACTAAACGTCTTGAGGAATATACTTTAGGTAAAAAAATGTTTAGATTTTCCATTTGATGACAACCTTGAAATGAATTATGTGAAGGGCCTGTCCCTACTCTGGGTTATTGACCCACTGTTAACTTGGTGTAATGCAGATTGGGGTTGGGTGGATGTGCTGGCCGGCAGAGCTGTGCAGGGATGGGGCCATCACCGTCACTTCCCCCATGCAGCCCCTCCACTATACACAGGGGTATGTGTAGCACTGTCATTCTGCCAGACTCCTGTAGCAGGATCTAACACATCGGCATTAAAGCTGTACTCCGGTCTCAAAAAGGCCCTCAGCCTCGAAAGATATAAATATATAAATCCACTTTCTGAGTGCTAAACGTCTCCACAAACCCAGTTATTACCTTGTAAAAGAGGCAATGACATCATCATGTGAACTATGACATTGACAATCCTATAACCTACTTTCTGTGCGTTTTGGATGCAGAAAAAAAGCAATGCATGTAGTGTGACCTGGCCCTAAACGTTGCAGTTTGTACATCATGTATTTGTACATAGCCTGTGCAGAGAGCAGAGTTGTAGGAGGGGCCGAGCAGGCTCCACCCACTACAGGCTGCCTGCAGAAAACTACAGGAGGAGGCGAGACAAGACCAGTCACCCTGCACAAGGAGAGAGAGCAGCAGTGAGCGGTCTTTATTACAGGAAGTACAGAGTCTCACACTGGATTACTGCACAGATCTGGAAGAAATACACAAAGCCCACCGAGATTCCAGAAGAATACACATGATGAATGTATTCAGATATTTGCTTATCCCGGAGTTCAGCTTTAAAGTGGAAGTTCACTGTCAGTGTGATTTTTTTTTTTTTTTTTTTTCCCCCAAATCCCCCCCCCCCCTCCCCCCATGCAATTCAATGAGCTCTGAATGCTACATACCAGCACTCTGGTTTTAAATTGTGCATATCATCTCATTACACATGCAGCTCTGGGGGAGGGGGCTCTCCACAAAGACCACGGGACACGTGGCCCTTCGTTATCCTGTCATTTGCAGGACAGGCTGGACATTATGTGCCCCTTAGTACCAGCTCTGGGTCCTTCAAGCTGTGCTCATGTGCAGTGTGCTGTCCCTGTCCCAGCTAGGCTTGGTGGCTGTAACTCCAGGCCATTCCAGCTTTGCACATGTGCAGTATGATCTCTCTAGATGAGCTCAGCTAGAGAAGGAGACAGTGAACACACACAGATGGACCTGCATGGAGTGGACAATAGGGGGCGCAATTGTAATGTTCAGCTCATCCGGCAAACGGGAGTACAGAGGGGGAATGGAGGGGCCACCAGTCTTTGTGGAGAAGCCCCCCACGGGAGGATGAGCACCATTTAAAATAGGAGGAACGCTGGTATGGACTTTTCAGAGCATATGGAATTGCATTGGGGGGTTTTGAGAAAATCTTGCTGAAATGAAGCCCATTTTGCATTATGGTGTGGGGTACAAGGTGTGAGGGGTGGAGCTCTCCAAGGAGATGGACTCCAACACTTGCCTAGGTGCTTGTACTGCTAAGTAGTGAGTTCTATTTCAGCCCAAATATTTCTAAGCCAATAAACGGCCCATTGTGGCTCTCAGATGCCCGAAGCGCTGCGTGTGACCTTTCTCAGGGGCTGAATTTGGTTGCATGTAGCACCACCTTGACACACACAAAGCCATATAAACTATTGACTGTGTTTGGGCATTTATATTAGTGCACCAAGTAGACCACAAATCACAGTGCATGCTCCAGTGAAATGCGACGTGCATCAGAAATAGGAAATCGCTCTTTGATTATGCAGTCCAGATGTGTTCTGGATGCGTTTTTGCATGTGCGGTTTTCGATGCATTTCAATGCTTTTTTTTATGCATTCCAGTTATTTTTTTCCCCTCTTTTTCTGCAATTTAAATAGAACATATGCGTTCCGGTGTGTTTTTGATGCATTTTACCACGTTCCAGTGCAGCATGTTTTACTTTTTTTTTTTCTGCAACCGGAACGCACTGGAACAGCAAGCACTGATGTGAACTATGACATTGACAATCATATAACCTACTTTCTGTGCGATTTGGATGCAGAAAAAAAGGAACTGAAACACATGTAGTGTGACCTGGCCAGGAGCGGACTGACCATTTGGAAATTGGGGCACTGCCCGAGGGCCCGGGTCAGTAGGGGGCCCATGAGATGCCCCTGGTACCTTTTTCATAGGTTTTTTTTAAGTTTGGGCAAGGATACAGGGGCCCCATGATCCCCTATTGCCCGGGGGCCCCATGAGTTGTCAGTCCGTCCCTGGACCTGGCCCTAAACGTTGCAGTTTGTATGTCATGTATTTGAAAAGGCTGCATATGTTTTATGTATTCACCATAAAAGAACAGTGCTCAAATATGAATACAGTAATGTAAAACATATCATAGAAAAACTGTTCCAAGGCCATAGAAGTGCTTAAAGTGTCACTAAAGGCAAAACGTTTCTTTTTAGTTTTGGATAGAGTGGAGATGGATTAGAACCCCTTTCTGTATTTGTCCTGCTGACTGTTATCACTAAAAGTTGAAAGCAAAAGAAAATCTTAAGTTTTAAGTGATTAGCACTTTCGCCTGGCAGTACTTGGGTCCGCCGTTTCAAATCCCAACCATGGCAGCATCTGCCTGGAATTTGCATGTTCTCCCTGTGCCTGCGTGGGTTTCCTCCTACACTCCAAAGACATGCTGGTAGTTTAATTGGCTCCTGTCTAAATTGGCCCTAGTATGTGTATGTATGAATGTGAGCTAGGGACCTTAGATTGTGAGCTCCTTGAGGGCAAGAGCTGATGTGAACATATATTACATACGGAAATCGCTGTGTAAATGGATGTCACTGTACTTGTAATGAATAATCTTCCAAACGGGACTCTAGTTCTGGTAACACCCTAGGATTCCGTCACTTTGGAGGGATTTCCTTTCACTTCCTGTTTTGGCTGTGCAACAGGAAGTGAAAGAGAAATCTCCCCAATGGGACACAGAGGGCAAAAAATAAATTGAGAGGGGTTTATAACCCTCCCTTATTTTATCCAAAATTAAAAAGGTTTTGTCTTTAGTGATACTTTAATAGTGACAATGCCTTTTAAACTAGAATTATAGGCAAAAACTTTTTTTCATTTTGGATAGAGTAAGGGAGGGTTATAACCCGTCAGATATTTTTTCGCCATCTCTCTCCCTTTGGGGAGATTTCCTTTCACTTCCTGTCCCATAGCCAAAACAGGAAGTGAGAGGAAATCCCTGCAAATTAAGGGAATTCCTTAGGGCCCCCTAGGTCATCAGAACTCATGTCTCCATTGGACGATTCCCCCTCTATTACTTTTTATGGGGTTTCTTTTACTTTCACTTTTTGATGATCATGGTAAACAGGACAAAGAGAGACTGTGAACCTCTCTGACAGGGACACAGACAGCAAAAGAAAGCTGACTGGTGTTCTAATCTTTCTCCTCTATCCAAAACTAAAAAAAAGATTTTGCCTTTAGCTATACTTTAATGAAATCTGTGTTGGAGCCCAGATGACCTTCCACCAATCAAAACTGCACCTACCAACAGTAGATTATAGGAAGGTCATAGTGGCCTGAAGCTTAGAGCCATACACTGGAAAACTCATCAACTCCCCAATAGCTCATGGTCACCAGGAGGATTCCAAAAATTTAAAAAAAAGCCTCATATAGTGTAAAATTGTTAATACAAAGATTCAAAACAAACCACTGTCCACTCACACTATACAAGTGCATACATTACACATCCATGGGCACCACAATATGGCTGCTAAATATTGATTGCACCAAGCCCCAGTGGGATCGCTAGACGATTCAACCTTACACCTCGCTCACAGAGTTCCACAGTGTGCCACTAGCATGCGTGATGACGTCAACGTTGTCTTCACCAGGAGCTGTTTTGATTGGTGGAGGATCACATGGTGACCAACACGGATTGTTACCTATCCACCACCAATCAAAACTACAAAACAGGATGAGGAGGCAATGGCAAAACACGTAGGGTGGGACGTCCTCATGCACGCTACATGTGGTATGCTGTGGAACTCCGCTGGCAATCTGTGAGCCATTGGTAGGACGAGTCTTGGAATTCCCCTGGCGCTTGGTACAATTAATCTTTAGCAGCCATATGTGATGCCCATGGATGTGTAATGTATGCACTTGTATAATGCCAGCTGATAGTGGTTTGTTTTAGTCTTTTTAATAATAAGCAATATTACACTATATGAGTTTTTTTTTTTTAATTTTGGGTATCCTTGTGATGAGCATGAGCTATTGGGGAGGATAGATTTCCTGTGTGTGTGGATCTAAACTTCAGGGCCTATTTTACCTTCCTATAATCTACGGTAGGTAAGTGCGGTTGTGATTGGTGAAGGATCATGCATGGATTGTCTCCCATTAATTACTTATGGACTTGGGGAACGGTTTTTTCTGTTGTTTCAT